GCTGAATTCAGCAATGTTATCCAGCAGGGGGCTCTGCTGCATTAGCAACAGTATGGCCCATTTAGCAGAGTCTCCAAGCTGATGACAGATCCATCCCTAAGTCTGTGTGAGGTAAAATATTTTCTTTAGGCTCACATAGAGGTTATATTGTGCCGAAAAGGCGTGAAATTGAGTCAGCACCTCAACACACTTTTCAGGGCATGCTACTGAACATGTCTGGTTTATGTGGTGTGGCACTGTTGTTGCTGCCTCAATGACTAGGCTTGTAGAGCTTGTAGCTGTGCTGTAAGTAGCATAACCTGCTGCATGAATGAGAGTTTTTGGTGGCAAGTTGACCATTTCCATTGCTATGTGGCCAGTTGTTAATTATTCTCCCTAGGTGACTGAGAGTTAGGGTCGTGAGAATCTGTTCTGTCCCACAGAAATCAAAGACACACAGGTTAGTCTTATATCTTTACTAAAATGGTTTTGAAACAGAAGTCTTAATGGCAAAAGATTTGAACAAATAAGGCAGTTAAGGGTTTGAGGTACATGATGGTGAAGTACAAAAAGAGTTGTCCCCATAGATCTGTGAGATGTGAGGCTCCCCTTATATAGGAGTGGCATCACCCGGATCTCTGACTATGTCAAGGTTTTTCTGGCCAATAGTCTTTGTTCACTAGGGAGAGATGCTTGCTCCACCTCTTTGACTTCTGAGGCCAGTGATAGCTGTCTTTTTTGGTTGCTAAGCAACTCTTCCAGCTGAATCCCCTCAGGCTGATGAGTCTCTCGGTTTTCCAAGTCTGAGCTGGCCATTGCACTGAGTGATGCCACAAGGATCCTCGGTTGGTGCCTTCTCATTTAGATAAAGTTGTTTCAGGCTGCCACTCCAGTGTTATTCCAGTGTGCTTTGTTGTCAGGAATGTATTATGCTTTTTCTTTGAACACAAACATACAGGGTTGCTGTATTATGCTTTGAGGTTATATGACAGTCAGTGGCAGAAGAAATACTGTGTTTGTGGAAGAAACGATGGATTCAACTGAATACAGTCTCAACATATCCTAAACATAATATTCTACAATCAGTGAAGCTATTGTAAGGGAAGAGATAAACAGTAGATTTTTAACATATTATAGTTGTTAATCAGCAAGGTATTTATGTCTCATGTAAAACCTCCATAACCACATCGTCTTCTCCTTTCCCACACATAATCTCAATTTTAATCTTACATAAGCTTAGCTACACTCCATGCATCTGAGGGAGAGTAAGTCATGAAAGCTTATGCTTTTTAATAAAATATGTTAAACTGGAAAGTTGTTACCAGACTTCTGATACTCAATGAAGAAATTGAAGCTGAAGAGGTTGTTTATTGCAGCAAAACAATCCAAAACATATAAAATAAACCATGAAGCATTTAAAAATGGAGATTTTGGAATGAAAGTCACGGTCTCTGGACTAAAATACTGAAAATCCACAAAGTAAACATTGCATGCAAAGATACTAATATGTATGAGCTAGAAGAGTTCTGCATGAATTTCTATTTCTTTTCTATTTGGGGGGACAACCCCCCTATTAAATAGAGTCCAATAGGAGATTAAAATAAATCAGCATTCAACCAGCCAGTCAACTTTTAAAGATAAGAAGAAAAACAGAAACTTCAAAAAATGAAATTAAAACCTAGGCATGCTTAAGAAAATGAACTGCCAGAGAAAAGATGAATGACCAGTGACTTCCCAATTGCTCTCATAAGGAACTGCAATCTTCAAGATTCTTCTTCCCAGGTGGATTCATCTGAAAGCTATCTTGGGTCATTCCTACATGCTCCCATTCATATCTCGGGAGCAGCACTGCCAAAGAATCAGCTTTGGCAGCAAAATGGATCGTAGATAGAAGAAAGAAAAATTCCTACTGTTCAGCAGACATCTTGGGGGAGGAGTCCGCACTTTTTATTTTCTAATTGATTTTTTCCTTTTTCTTTATTTATATAAAAAGTAACTGAAGAAAAATAAAAAGTTCTTCAAATAAAACAAGGACATTAATCTTGTGAAACCATCACCAATACAAATTACAGGGTTTATAAATGTCATAAAATACAACTATGTGTATATGGATTTTATAGACTAAAAAAGACCAAATATTTTTATGTCACATTTTGAGAAAGAAATAATTCAGCCTTAACTGTTTGGAAGCCAGATTCCCATCTGTTTGGACAATAGACTAGCTATCCCATTTGGAAAATTTACACACCAACATTCAAATGAGAAAATCAGACTGAAGAATTGGAGTGAGAAGGAAAAGCTATGTGCCTTTCAGATTCTTCCAAAACTGACCCTCCAAAATAAACAGAAAAAATCCAGCAAAAACCTAGAAACAAATCATATTAATTGCTTTATTTTAAAATATATATCAGCTTCAATCCTACAGGCATGTGATAATCTAAATTTTCTATATAACATGTATTTCTTACATATAGTATAAGTTGTCAGCTGTGTTCTAAATTCAAAATGGAACTTATCATTACAATCAGATCTTTATCAGTTTTCAAAGTTGCTGATAGGCGGTACTCCACTGTATTTTTTTCTCTCTCAGCCAAATTTTGTTCCATTTCTGCCATTCAGGGATGTGGCAAAAACAAGGCTTTTGACTGATGACTGAGTTTGTTGTTGAAGGGAAGGCAAGAAAGAAAACACCTGAGGTTTCAGCCACTGAGCACTTTAATGCAATCAAGCTACAGAAATAGTCAAACATAATTGAGGAATACAGATTATCAGTGTTCCACACATAAAGATTTCCAGAAAAATAGTATCTGTAAATTGCAGCAAGTACCTAGAGCAGAGGTCCCCAATCTTTTGGGCACCAGGGACCAGTTCCGTGGAGAGATTTTTCCACGGACCGGAGGGTGACTGGTTTTGTGTGCTGCCTGCATCTCACGGATGGGGCTTTGCTTGTTTATGTGGCCCAGTTGCTGGCATGCTGTGGCCCGGTACTGGTCCACTGACCTAGAGCAAAAACATTTTCTCCTCTAATTCTTTGACCATTTGGGTAGTCATAAAAAACAAGCAAGAGCTTCATCCCAAGAGAGTCTTGCTTCATATTCCTTTGGAAATAGTTTAACTCTGAATCATTGTCATGTTATTATTTAAGCAGTTTCCTGAGTTCAGATGTAACAAGAAGGTTGTTTAAAGACAGAATGGTTGTTTCTAAGCTCTTCCTTACGGGTATAAAAGATGGGAAAGAATAAATCCATGGTTTGGCTCATTCACAATAAAAGCCACTGCTCCTCTTATGTGTATTCCAGAAAATAAGAAAAAGTGACAAGAATAAATTACAAGGTCTAAGGCAGGAAGGTGACAATGATGAAATAGTACAGAATTGCTCTGCCCTTGAGTTTTTTGTGGGAACAATCACTACCTACATCTTCACAATCTTTGGGCTCTTTAGGAGGACCTGCATGCTGAAGCTACCAATTAGTCCAGAACACATGTCTGCCTCTAGGATATAAAGAGACTTAAGTTCAACGGATAAAGGCTAAGTTCTGCTTTCCTCAGCAGAAAAATATTTTACTCAGAAGCAATATATAACACAACAATATCCATCTGCTAGAAAGGGCAGGGAGCATTTTAGTAAAGAAAGACTCTGCCATTAAAAGAAATAAGAGAGCTGACTTCTCTGCACCTCACTATAATAAATTCTTAGATTTCGGGTCTATCTATAAGGTACACCTCACAACTATTTTTTTCATTTTGCAGCCTTAGGCAAGCTTCAAGTCTCAGTTCTTATCTATTAAAGGAATGCTGTGAATAAATCCAATAAATTCATGATTAGATCACAAATGATCTAATCGTTACTCATTCTGTTTGTTATTTCTGACTGTAGTGCCAAAATTTTAATATCTTATGTTAATAGCTACTCCACTGAGAAAATCAAAATTATGAAAATAATCCCCATACAATTTGAATAGCTTCTAAACATATGCCATAGCACAGTGGTGGCGAACCTATGGCACGGGTGCCAGAGGCGGCACTCGGAGCCCTCTCTGTGGGCACATGTGCCGTTCCCCCAGCCTTGCCTCCCCCCGCGACCCCCTCCTCTCCAGCAGCCCCCTGAAGGAGAGTCGCTCTCGAGCGTGGCCCACATGGAGCATCGCAGCCAAGGACATGGCAGCCAGGCAGTGTAGACAAGACTCTGCCCTCACACCCCATCATGCAGTTGATGCTGCAGGGCGCAGGCAGAGGGTGTGACTGCCATAGCGCTGCTGGGCTGCCTGGGCGATCTGCGGCGGGCCCTGGAGGTGGTGAGTGGTCCTGTGGATGGGTGGGGCGGGGGATGGGGGGGCAGAGCGGGGGGGAGCAGGGAGGTGGAGCGGGGCGGGGCCAGTTTTTGGGCACTCAGTCTCTAAAAGGTTCACCATCACTGCCATAGCAGATTCAGAATCTATATGGGATTTCTTATAGTTTACGTACTAGAAGTTTGCAAATTACCTGCATGAAAATGAAAGATTGAAATCTTGGGCAAATCCAATTTAGGTAGCAAGAAATGAGAAAGAGCTCTGCTAAAGACTGGAAAGTTGCTGCCAGACAGAGTAGATACAATATGTGACCACATGGAGAATCAGACTGTTCTGTTTAAAAGATTCTTATGTTCTTATGGAATGAAGAGATTATAGACTACTATAGATACTTTTTGCAGCGTATGACCTGAGATAAGCTCAGACAAATAACCTATATGAAACCTGAGAGCAGTGAAAAAACAATTGTTTAATTAAAATGAGAGACATTGCAGAAACAAGATTTGAAGACTCTGCTTCTAACCCTGTATATGTGTATGTTTGTGTATGTGAAAGAGAGAGAGAGGAATGAAATAAGGAACAAATGAATGAAAGCACGTGAACAAGACTTGGAAATACTTGGAGATAGCTTTCTGTTTGACTTTGTAATTATTTCTCTGGATCACCTGTTGGGCAAAACTGTTGTGAGATTAACTAGGAAAGAAGAACTTTGGAGGAAAATTAGGACTGAAAAACATAAACAAATCATCTGTCAAGTTCAAATGAAGACTGCTGTAGTTTCCTCCCTAAGAGAAATGGCTGAAAAAAACTACTTTCCTTTCAGCCCCCCAAAACATTGCCCTATCAACTATACCTTAATAATTACTTCTGGAAATTTAAATGCCTTTCTCTCAACATCTTGAATCCAGAATACATCTCCTCCTATACATCCCACTTTAAAATAATTTGTGTTCAAAGAAAAAGAAAACAGGCCCAGGCGAAGGCCTGCGTTTCTTTAGTACTTCTTGTTGCCAGGATTCTTCTTGTTGAATAGGCTGACCTTGTTGGTAGAGGAAGACTCTAATTTCACTTTATCCATTAAGGTTTTCTTAATGGCAGCTGGGGAAACTTTCTCTTGGTCAGCTAAGCACTGTAGTTCCCTGTTGAAGACAGAGAATGGATTATCAAATCAGAGAACGTAGCTCAAGAGGGGTGAGTGGATGAGGGCATTTCTTTTTGCTGTGTGCAAGCATACCGTGTCCTGATGCAGGATGCCTCCACAGCATTGATGAGCAGTGAGCGGAAACCACCACTCTCTAGAAAGTGGAGAGCATAGATGGTAGCACCTCCTGGTGAGCAAACATTGTCCTTAAGCTGTCCAGGATGCTGCTCAGAATCCAACAGCATTTTGGCAGCTCCCTGGGTATTGGATAGACAAGACAAAGGCAACTTAGAGGATAGCAGCAATATGTTACTTTAACCTACATTTAGCTGGATCTTTGAGGGAGAACATGAAAATCAGGGCAGATAGAGTTTTTTTCCTTAACACTGCAAATTTACCACTGAATTAGAAAAAAATTTAATCTGTCTCACACATGACTGAATGATCCAGTAGTTTGTCTGTTTCTTTGTACTTTAATTGCTGGGTGGTACAGGGCGCTTCTTCGAATTTCAAACACCAGCTTTTAAAAAAAATAATTTGACTTTTTTCCTATCAAATATCAGGAAGCAGAGTAGTCATAATGACCATTCTGATGATTACAAGCTAAGATACTGACCAACAAGGCTTGAGCTCCCAATCGGACAGCTAGTCTACGAGGAAGGCCCATCTTCACCCCTCCATCTGCCAGGGCATCCAGGGCTGTGAATGCCTAGGAAATCAATAGTTAAAAAGAAATAAAAATTTGACCATATAATTATTCCTCTGGATCACCTGTGCAACATAACAATGCAATGTATTTTTCTGATTATTTAAATCAGAGTTCCTCAATTCAGTGCCCTCTAACCGTGCTGCAGCTACAAAGTCAAGAACTTGCAATCAGCACAGTCTGAGGCAACCGCTGTACAGGTAGTCCTCAACTTACAACCACAATTGAGCCCAACATTTAAGTTGTTAAGTGAGACAGTTGTTGAATTTTGCCCCATTTTGTGGCCTTTCTCGCGACAGTTGTTAAATGAATCACTGCAGTGGTTAAGGTAGTCACATGGTTATTAAGTGAATATGGCTCCCCTTTTGAATTTGCTTGTCAGGTCACAAAAGGGGTCATATGACCTGAGCACACTGCAACCATCACAAACGTGAGTCAGTTGTCAAGCATCTGATTTGGATCATGTGACCATGGTGATGCTGCAATGGTCGTAAGTGTAAAAAATGGTCGTAAGTCACTTTTTTCAGGGCCGTTGTAACTTCAAACAGTTGCCAAACAAACCGTTGTAAGTTGAAGACTACCTGTATTCCAGAATTTTATCAGTGGATCCTTGTGGGTGGCCTAGGACAGATTGGAATAGACCACATATTCTAAGGTGGTCAGGCTCTAATGATATCTAGGAAATCAAACACTTGGCCCTATCCCCACCCCCACCCAAATCTTTTATATCCTTTTTGAAGAATAAAGGAAATATACGTACATAAGCAGGTCCACTGCCACTGAGTCCCGTCACAGCATCTATCAAATCTTCTTCCACTTCAGTGCAGAAGCCCACACTTGCCATCAGCTGTTCTAAGAGCTTCCCATCTTCCACTTCTGCATGCGAGCCTGTGGCATAAACGGTGGCCCCTTCCCGCACAATGACTGGTGTATTGGTCATGCACCTGATCACTTTTGGGGTGGGGTAGAAGGTAGAAAGTTTCTTGAGACACAAAATAAGAGAAATAATTGAGGATACTTAATTCAGAACTTTAAAAAAAAATTAGATCTGACAGGTGCTCCAGAAAATCCAACCCTGTCAGGTTACAGACAGATAGGAAAGAATCAGTGCATGTTCATTTGGTACCCATAGAGTGTCTCTTCATACCGTGCTTCCACGAAAATAAGACCCGATCTTATATTTTTTTGCCTCCAAAAGAGGCATTAGGTCTTATTTTTTCCACTGTGGAAGCCTGCCATTTTCCTAACTGAGGGACTGGTCATTCTAGGAGTTGTAATCCCAACACATTTGGAAATGCCAAGTAGAATAAATTATACATTAGTGACATATGCCCAATAGCTCCATCTGCAATATAACGAATGTCTATAGGGTGGCATATTATAATTTATCACAATTTATGATAATTAGGCATATTATGATAATTTAATCAGAATAATAATTTACTAATTATATACTAATGTAGAACAAGTTATGCAAATTTATTCAGATCATTAACCATAATTTATTAACTCATACTAATTTAGTAATTCATGCTAATTTATCCAGGTTAAGAATCATAATTTATGATAATTTATCCAGTGCAATAATTTGATAATGTATCTGGGATAATAATTATGGTTTATGATAATATAAGGTAATGATTTATGGTATGTTAATCTATGGTAATTTATCCAGAATAATCATAATTTATAATAATTTCTCCAAGATAATTTATCAATTTATGACTTACTAATTCATGATAGTTGATCTGGGTAATACTCATAACCTATGATAGTTTATCTAGGGTAATATTCATAATTTATAATATTAATTCATGATAATTTATGCTAATTTAGAACAATTTATGGTATTTTATTCAGGATAAACATAATTTATTAATTCCAATTCATTCAGAATATAATCAGCTTACTTACAAAGATATTTACTAGGTCACTAACCGGAGATACAACAGTGTTTCCTCTTCTTTCTATATAAGCAAAGCAATTATATTTGTTGCACTGTCACCACCCCCATTATTAGTTTGTTTTTCAGAAATATCTGTTAGCTGCCCTTCCCTTACACAAATCTATGCCCAAGAAACTTAATACAGATGAGTGCTGATTCTCACCTTTTCAATTGAGTTGATAGTAACACCAGCAGCACATGAGACTACAATATGTCGATCTTCTATGTCTGAGCCAATTTCATCCAAGATAAAGGGAATTATGGGTGGTTTTACTGCCAGAAACAGGACATCACTGTTTTTAACCGTCTCCTTGTTGCTTAAGGTGAAATTTACACCCATTTTCTGGAATTAAGAAGTTGCATAGCAATTGTTGAAGCATTTCTTTCTTTGTGCTGAGTTTATAACAAGAACAATTAGATTAAATAAGGAACCAGGCAAGGTTGGGCACATACCGGTATTTATTTTTCTAGAACTACAAAGGCAAAATAAATGTGATGGATTAAAGCCAAAATAAATTTCATACAGTATCTTGATTTTAACTGGGCAAAAAAATGAGGCAAAAGTAGAGATTCAGCTGTTTTGACTACTGGGGTTGGGGTGAAGTTTTTGGATGGAAATAACTGCACCAGCTTGCAGACAAACTGAGATAGAAAAGAACTTCTTGGGAAGAATCATATATCCTGTTTGAATTTGTTCAGTATCTAGATATATATTCAATTTTAATACTTATGGCAATGCTGTTTTACTATATGCTATGATGACTCTAGTATTTATTTATGAAAATTTTATAAATATATTTTATAATTAAAACCAATTCAGACATTCTGCAGTTTAAAAACGGGTATGGTTTCAACTAGATTCTAAGAATATGATGCTCCTAAAGATAGAAACTAAGGATTAAACAGAGTGTTATGGACACAAATGTCACTTGTAATGCCTTAGCAATGCCACCATAAATAATAATAACTGACAGAAACAAGGCGGTGATTGGATGTATCAAATCTTCTCCATACATTTTAAAATATGTATTTGCAATAGAAGACATGCCCTTGAAATAAATAAAAAAGGATTATATCTTCCTTCTAACAGTATTTTCACACTAACATATCTCATCCTAAAGTTATTTTTCAAATGAAAAAAGAATTATCAAAGTATAGGCAGACCTCAAGAAATGACTGTAAACGAGTCTGCCCATTATGGTCATATTTCATGGCACTTGTCAGGTGAAAGGTGTCAGCTAACAAACCCCCCCCCATCCCATTCCTGTCCCATGTGAAACATAAAAAGAACATGCAGGTTGCTAAGTGGAATGTGGGGTGCCTCATGGATAGGGGAGGCTCTTGGAGGTCTCATACAGGCCCAGGCCTGCTTGCCCTGGCCCTTCCAGGGCCTCCCCCACCATTGACGCTCCATGCTCCACTTTCTGTGCCTTGGGTTCTCATATGCCTTTTCCCACTCCCACCAGGTCCTCCCAGGCCTTAGATCTGATTTCCACCCCACCAGGCCAAATACCCTTCTTCTCACTTACCTTTTGAAGAGCTGTGAGGCCTTCCAGACTGCTGATATGACCTCCTTTTTCGCGTGGCCACATGGCATTTCCAAACGTGGCCGCCATTTTGTCCCATCCACAAAATGGCGGCCGCATTCAGGTTGCTGCATTTGGGTCGCAGCCACATGTCGGGGGGGGGCAAATTGCTTCATTTTCCTACCTTACCAAGCTCTGCAGTGCTGCAGAAGCTTTCTGCAAAGTTCAGAAGTCTCTGTAGCACTGTGCTGCAGACCTCTCTAAGGCAGCAAAATGAAGAAATTTCTTTGGTGGCCGCCATTTTGTCCTGCCCAGAAATGGGCAAGACAAAATGGCAGCCGCCTTTGGGTCACTACTGTGTGACCCAGGGACACATGGCCTGCTTGCCTTCCACAACATGAGGTCCAGAGAGCTTCAGAAAGTAAGAATGGGGCATGATGGCTGTATCAGGAGGAGGTGCTGCATGGTTTCAACAGATGGGATGGAGGGACTGCAGGCCTGCTGCAGCCATTGTAACTTTGAAATGGGGTCATGTGTGATTTTGGGTAGTCTGTTGTAATTTCAAATATCCATTAAATTGCCTGTTATACCTTGAGGATCACCTGGCTATCCTTTTCTGAGTAACATGCAGTCCTACTATTTTCTCTCAGTTTTTCTTTTTTATATGAAAGAAATGTATCCCAATTCTAGTAACAGAAAAGGTTCTGACTGGAAGTTTAGTTCCTACAGACAAAATATCAGAGCTAAAAAAGCCTAAACTATCTCAGTACATGGATGAAGCATGAAATGCCCATGTTCTTATTTGAACTAAAAGCCAATATTCTGGTTTACCACTAGAAGTACGCTGCTCCCTGTTGTTGCTATCTCATTCATTGGATTTCTCTGGTAGTAATCATAGTTAAAAAAAACTGTATGCTCTGTGGTTGACTATGATGTACAAACTAGGAATTCTACTTTATACATCTTGGAACAAGCCAGACTGGTGCCACAGTTTTGTTCTTGGCATCAGGATATGGGTTGTTCCAAGATGAACTAGCAAGATTCTTTTCAAGCCAAGCAAGAAAAACAAAAAAACACCTGATTTGGATTCACTGCCAGGAGTCATCAAAGATCAATCAAAGCAGTGTGCATTTCATGTATGAAGAGTTCAGTATACAAACATACAGCTACCAAGAATTTTATGAGAGTTTTGAGAGCAGAAAAGAGGCATTTTAATATTTCAAATGCTATAACCTACCCTCAAGCCTGTTACTGTTGGGAGATCAGTGTCTGGTGAGCTTGCTGTTATCTTGTGGGCAGCCAAAATCCCTAGAAAAATAAATATTGCGTTTTATTTTGCTATAGCTTCCTACATCTTATTCAAGTGTTGATTCAGGTCTTATTATCAGAGGCACAGTGTTTCACGGCCCCTCTTAGATGGGCTCCTCCAGTGGTGAGAGAGTCCAGATGCAGAATCCCACCAGGCTGAGAGAAAGGGAAGAGGAAGGTCACCCAGCCATTTCTTCCATGTTATTGCAACAATGTAGGCCATGTGAGGGGTTCCCTCCTCTATTTAAAGTATCGTTTCCCCCCCCCCCTGCTTGGCCACTTGACTCAAAGGGATCTCCCCTCCCTAGTTGCATGAAACCCTTTTCCTTTTAGGTTTACAATAGCTGACTAAACAAATCTAGATGACCACTAAGAGGACACTAAAATATCTTTTTCAATATTTCTTTACTGCCATCTAGTGATCGACTAAATTTTTGCTGCCCAGCTGTGGTAGCCCTATACTGCAAAAGTCCCCAACCTTTTGGGCATCAGGGACCAGTTACATGGAGAGAGGTTCTTCCACGGACTGGAGGGGGCTTGGTTTTGTGTGCTACTTGCATCCCCCCAATTGAGGCTTTGCTTGTTTGTGCAGCCAGGTTGCTGGCATGCCGTGGCCCGGTACCAGTCCACAGATCGGGGGTTGGGGGTCCCCTGCTATACTGTACAATCAAGTTTGTTGGAGCCAGGCATAACCTGCTCTCACTGCCTCCTCTGTTTTCATTTTATTCTTGCCACTATCTTCACATCCCTTCTCAGTACACCCATTCTGTTTTTTCAGTCAGTATAATTTTTACTACCTCTTATCCAATTGTAGATTTTCATGTTTTTAAGTGAAATTTATTGATATTTTTTTAAAGTAAAGGAACATTCAAAACTAAGGCAATATATAAGCAGACAAAGTTCATGTCAAACTACACCCTTGAGAACCTTTTAAAATCTATGGAAAGATCTGTGCTAACTTTTGCAATGTTTGCAGTTTTTTTCATGACCAGTAAACCACTCTTCTAGCCTGTAATTATACTATTTCGTAAGAAGTAAAAAAACAACAACTAGAAATTAGAAGGAGCTGTCTGGTCGCTATATGAGTATTTAAATGCAACTCGGATTTTCCTAAAAATATAGCATACATATATATCTGCTTGTATCTGATTAATTAACCTTTTCCCAACAATGCTTTACTGCAGTAAATATTGTAACAAGTTAATCTGGACAGAGTGGTAATATAGTAACATGAATTCCAAAATCCAAAAGGGGATTAGCTTCAGACTTGTATTTAATGCTATTGTAACCCAACAAAAGTAGCACTATGTCTTCATTACAATAAGTACTATTACACACATTCAAAGTATGCTTGAATCAAGGAAAAAAATAAAGATCTGAGAGACAAATAAATATCACAAGTGCCAGGTAAAAATTTAATACCATTTCTAATGTTTCAGAAATATCACATTTAAGCTATTACATGCACTTTACTTGATTACATATGGTTAACCGAATAACCCAATTGATCTGGTCTGCACAATATACTAAACTAAAAGCAAACAAATCACATGACATCTAACATACTGTGCAAACTTGTAAGAAAGCGGCAGAAATAAACGTAACACTGATGTACCAGTGAGTTTATTGTAAATCAGTTCCAATTTCTTGCCTTTGCCTACCTGCTGCCGTGAAGCCCCTCGCTAAGGAAAAGGCGAGCTGCCCAGCACCGATGAATCCCACACTCATGGTAACAAGTTTCTAGAAGTGACCTAATGGATCCCTGGTATATATAAAAAAAATGAGAATATCAGCCAAATGTGCCGGTGATAGTAATATAATTCTTGCAAAATACAGGGACCGACTTCAGGTTTTGCACTGGATTTCGGGAATGGATAGATTCAAGTACCTGGGACAAAAAAAGATTAGAAGGGCTACTGCAGGATCCCTGGCTAACACTCACCCTCAACTTGACATCACAGCTCGTTTAGTCTTTTCCCCTTCTTGGTGCCGGCTCCACCTCCCACCTGCTGCTCTGCTTTCCTTCCTGCCTATCCTACCGTCCCCGTCCCTTGAACACGCGATCTTCCATTCCCTTTGCATCGCGGATCGATCCTTTCCATACTCTTCAGGTTCTCCCAATGGATCTCTATGGAGCCCATTTACCCCCTAGCAAACAAACCTGATACTCCCACGTGGCTCGTTCAGAATCGGGGGGCAGGGGCTGAATAGAAGCCGTGGCAAAGCGCAGGAAAAAGATCATTCCTCAGCCAATCCGAACGAGAGGGCGTGGCCTCCTCGCCCTCTCCTCCAATCAGCTGCTGAGCAAGCGCATCGCCCGCCAGCTATTGGAGCAAGCTTTGTTTGCAGTTGCATCAGTCGGTCTTCCGCGGAGGCGGCGAAGGACTGATTTTTTTTTCCGAGCGATGCTCAGGCTTCGTTTTTGGCCGGTAATGGCTGCTGCATCCTGGGCGTTTCCATTAGTACGAGACAATACGGGTTCATGATTGCGCTGCCTCCTGGGAATTGTAGTCTTTGGTGAAAAAAGAGTGTTTTAAAAGACAGGTGATAGAAATATGGTGATACCTTTTAAATGCGGTACTTGATTGAAAGCGTTTGGAAAGAAACTTGCTTGGAAATCACCTCGCTTGATCTAACACAGTGTTTCTCAACCTTGACAATTTTAAGGCATGTGGACTTCAACTCCCAGAATTCCACAGCCAGCATTGCTGGCTGTGGAATTCTGGGAGTTGAAGTCCACATGCCTTAAAATTGTCAAGGTTGAGAAACACTGACTAACAGCAGTACTTTCTAACGGCAATGCTGCTAATTCAACTTTGGGGAGAGGGTGGGATTTCCAGTAAAGTATCTTTAATACTCATCTTGGGTATATGCGTCTTGAAAACTGAAAGAGGAATTTCCAACTGTCATATAAAGTGAATTCATTACGGAAGAGTTATCTGAATGATTTGAAATATTCCTTCACCCGTTTCTTGCCACTTGTGCCAAGTTGTTTAGTCTCTTGATCATTTAGGTCTATTTTCTATTCTCCCTTCCCAGCCTCCCCAATCTCTCTATTAAATATAATTTGTATTAAGAATTTTAATTGCAGTAGTAAAAACTAACACAAACAGAAGAAAATACTGTAAAATTGAAAGAAAGGATAGAAAATGAAAGAAGAAAAGAAAGAAGAAAGGAATTACTCTGTGGTAATAGGTAGCCAATAAATTAGCTAAACAAATAAAAATATAATTAAGAAAAAAATAAATGTACAAAGAAGTTTACTCATAAGTTTTTTTGGTCTTTGCTACAGTTGTCAGCTCCACTTTCACAGACTCATCTTCAGTTTCCAACACCTCTACGGAACTCCACTAATTCAGCTTTGTAAATATTTGGTGTCAGTCAGCCCTAGAAATATTATCCCACACATATATATTCTTTTTACAACCCTGTAATCCCTTCAGGGTGGGGTCGGAGCAACTAAATGGAGCTGAATGTTTACTGACCAGATGCCCTTCCTGACGCCTACTTGGAATTCACAGCAGATATTTTCTCTTTGCTCCCTGATACATAGATATAGATACCGATATATCGATTTATAGATAGATATTGATATTGAGGCATAACAGAAAGTTACTTTTTTCCTTCATCTTGTCTGCTGATATTACTATTGTTTTCTATTTTTATTGTTTCCCATGAAGCTATTTATTTTGTTTTTGTTTTTGTCTCTTTCATGTTTTTTGTGGAATGCTAACTTTTTAAAAGGGTTTCCTAAGTTCCAGGCGGGACAAAGTGTTAGGGGGATCCCCCTGTATTCCCAGTTGCATCATGAATATACATTTCCTAAATCAGTGGTGGCGAACCTATGGCACGGGTGCCAGAGGCAGCACTCGGAGCCCTCTCTGTGGGCACGCGTGCTGTTGCCCCAGCTTTGCCTCCCCCCGCGACCCCCTCTTCTCCAGCAGCCCCCCTGAAGGAGAGTCGCCCCCAAGGGTGGCCCACACGGAGCAGCACAGCCAAGGACATGGCAGCCAAGCAGCGTAGACAAGACTCTGCCCTCACACCCCATCATGCAGTTGATGCTGCAGGACGCGGGCAGAGGGTGTGGCTGCCATAGCGCTGCTGGGCTGCCTGGGCGATCTGCGGCGGGCCCTGGAGGCAGTGAGTGGTCCTGTGGGCAGGCAGGGTGGGGGGTGGGGGGCAGAGTGGGGGTGGGGCGGGGCCAGTTTTGGGGCACTCGGTCTCTAAAAGGTTCGCCATCACTGTCCTAAATCAATGCTTCAAATAGAGAAATGGCTTTTTAAAAAGCATGATATAGATATTGAGCAGGGGTTTGACTAGAAGACCTCCATGATCCTTTCCAGCTGTATTCTATGTTCTATGTACCATGTTCCAGAACAGTGTTTCTCAACCTTGACAATTTTAAGGCATGTGGACTTCAACTCCCAGAATTCCACAGCCAGCAATGCTGGCTGTGGAATTCTGGGAGTTGAAGTCCACATGCCTTAAAATTGTCAAGGTTGAGAAACACTGTTCCAGAAGATCATAGTTAATATAAGATGCAACCTCCATATAGTACAGTATGGATTTTTCAGAAGTACTAGATTGAATGATTAAAAAATGCTAATATGGAAGTAGCCAGCTTTATATTCTAATTCACTAACATTACTAATGTTTGTCTTCAATGTGTGGTGTGTATGAAGCACCAAAAAGTGACATCAATTTGCCACTTTTTGGTGCTTCACACAACTTTTTATATCACCTGACTTTTTTGTTTTCTGACTTTATAAGATGGCAGCTACGTTGCAAATAAGTAGCTCTCAACCCATAGCATCTCTAGCGCTTACAGCCTCAAAATTCCAAATGGGCCAACCAGCCAGAAGTCTCTTTCTCTAAGCCATGCCAGATTCAAACCAGTGAGGACAAAAAGAAACAAGACTCTTCCCTTCTTTTCTTCCTATTATCTGTCCGTTTGCTGATAATTTTTCTGCAGGGTCTCCAAGGTTGCAGATTTCCCATTTTCTCACCACTCCTGGCTTGTCTCTGGAACGCTAATTGTGGTATTCATGGAGCATCCATAGTAACAAAGCCAACGGCCTGTTGAGTTGTTTCTGTAAGAATATGATAGGCACTAGAACAGTGGTTCTCAACCTTTTTAATGCCGCGACCCCCAACCGGTCGTAAGTTGAGGACTAAACCGGTCATAAGTCGAGGACTAAACCGGTCGTAAGTCGAGGACTACCCAACCGGTCGTAAGTCGAGGACTTTCCCTGCCCAGAAGCGCCGCACATGCGTGGTTCCGCCCCCTGCACCGGCCGAGGCATAGCTGGCAAGCGGCAGAGACGGAGCAGGCCGACCACCAGCTGGCCCAGCTCAAGGGAGGTAAGGCACCCGCTGGAAAAGGGGGAAAAAAATGGCGGACAGCCTTGCTTGGCGACCCCCGTGAAATGGTCGATCGACCCCAAATGGGGTCGTGACCCATATGTTGAGAACCGCTGCAGTAGAATGATGTAGGAAGAATCGCAGCAACACCATTAAAGAAATTATGAACCTAAAATTCTCTAAAGAAATGTTGCCATGGAAAGAAAGCTACTATACAGAGATCCTGGTTTTCTTGTTGTTGCTAGAAAAAATAGTACTGTAGATAATAACTGCCAATTAGACTTGTGCCTGCCTGTTAGCATATTTGTTTTTACAAGGGTAGAGCTGAGACATACTTTTATTTAAAGGTATTGACAGATGACTAAACCCACATCCATCAAAACTTCTCCTCTTTTCCCCAGCCCACACTAAGGGAAGTGATTGGTAGACCACATGATCCTGGGACAGTGGAACTGTCATAAATTCATGCTAGTTATCAAGCACCCAAATGTTGATCACGTGATCATGGGATGCTGCAATGGTCGTGTGAAAAACTGTCATAAGTCACTTTTTTCACTGTTGTAACTTCAGATAGTCAGTAAATGAATGGTTTATTGAATGAATACCTTTATATTAAACTGTATTCAAATAAGAAATATTTAAAGAGAATTTGTTAAAACCTTTCCCCTTAATACTGTGGCTACAATATATAAACTACAGAAATATTTAACTCATTGCTGTCATCCAGAGGTTATGTGGATATCTGCAAATATGATATAACCATTGTCAATTTCATGCAAATTACTTTCAGAGCTTATATAATACAGTATAGGTCACTGTGCCTGTATAAGTGTATAAATATCAGCATAAATATATGTTATTGAATATGTTCATGGTAAAATCAAGCTCTCTTGGTTCATTCCAGATTTGTTGCATTTCTTGCTAATATAATTTTGGGAAATTTAATTCAGTACATCTGGTGGATTCATAGTTGGGAAAGACCAGCTAAATCCTTTTACTATATAGTAATACAGTACTAGTCTTGTTAAATTAATTTTTAATGATGTGTACCTCAAACAAATTTAGGAATCCAATAAAATCTTGGAAGAAAAGTAGTACTTGGCAGATTCAAAGGAATTAAGACTATTTAATTCTTTGTATAATATAGCAGATAAATTAAAGTCATTGTTTGAATTAAAGCTTAGGATGACATTTCCAGCTGACTTGTAGAACATTCCACAAATGCTCCTCTGTTCTCTTTTTGCCTTGGAATCCTGATGGTGCTTTAGAATTTATACTCTGAGGAATGCAATGGCATTCTTCAAACTATCAGTGATGCTTTTAAAGGCAACAGGGCAATTTAAATAGCATAGCCATAGCAGGTGTGAGGCAGTTAATTCTTGATTTGGAGATCTCTCTCTCAATCTCTCTCTCTCTCTCTCTCTCTCTCTCTCTCTCTCTCTCTCTCTCTCTCTCTGTCTGTCTGTCTGTCTGTCTCTCTCTCTCTCTCTCTGTAGAATATGTTTCTTTCAATTTGTATATTTTTAATTGGAATCAGAGCTATAATTGCAGTAATCCCCTCATTCCACCAAATTAAAATAACATCTGACTGAGAAATTATATCATCACATCTTGTGCTTCTCCAAAACAATTGACTACTAATCACTCTCTCCAAAATTATGTAGCTTTGTTCAAATGCACCTCTGCCAGCCACAATGTGCACTTATCTTCTCTGCCAATTCATTAACCAGATGCTGAAATTCTGAATGCCTGATACAGGCCACATGAATGAAAGTGATCGCGTTGCTCTTTATTTAATTGCCATTTTTA